CCAGATGCCTTCAGAGAAATGAGTACCAACCCAAGCAGAAATAAATGGTTCCATCTGCTCTTACACCAAGTTCATCCTTCCCCACTGACCAAGAGTGTTCAACTTTCAGAGAGTAATAATTTCATTTGAATGAATGAAAAGCAATAGATAAAGAAGCTGTGCTGGGGATAGCAGGACTATTATTCAGCTTGATGCTTCTGGATGGACATATAATTTCTTCTCTTAGGTGCAGTTGGGTAGAAGAGGCAATTTTAGTTTCAGGGCCCATACGCCTGCCACACACATTACTGTGTTGAAGTCACAGCTTTCTGGTCCCATGTAGTGAGTGGTATTGACATCTCTTCTCACGTGCCCTTTCTACTGCCCATAAGGTGCCATAAGCACACATGGGTGCCTGCAGCAGGATGCTCTGCAGCAGGCAGCTCCTCAGATTAATCTGAAGGTACCAGAGACACTGAAGTGGGGATCTATAGCTGTGGAAGCAAATGATAAATTCTTTCAAGATCTAGAGCTGTAAATTTTTGCCCAAGGTGCATCTTGCTCAGCACAAGTCTCTTTTCTTCTTCCTCATAATCAGCCATAGCCCCTGTACGCCAGTGCACTGTGGTCACTGCCTGCCCGGTGCTCTGCCCTATAGTTCAGTGAAACCTTCAGTCACCGATTTTAACGTCATCTCCTATACCATCAAATGAGCATGTGAGAGCTCAACACACATCCTCCATTTCTTTTTCTGTTGCCTGGTATCAGCACAGAAGATAAAACTCCTCAACCTACAGGTGCTTCTCTTCATCTCAGCAGCCGCAGGTTAATTTGGGACCTGTCAGCAATAATTAAGTTCATTGCTCATGCTGGGGCCTCTAGACACAGCTCTCCCAGAAAGACTGAGCCACAACAACCTTCCTAGCCCTACAGCCCTGACATCCATTCCTTCTGGACTGTAGCCACCTGAAATAACAGCTTGGACTACTGCATCAATAAAAGGATCCAAGCAGAGTCCTTTGTGTACTATCCAACTTGCTGGGCAGGATTCTCCCTGTATTGGACCCTCACAGATAAAGACACGTATTTCAAGGGATGTTTAAATGTATACAAGCACTGGATGCCTGAGCCAAAGGCACAGCCTGCACAGCAGCAACGGACAGAGCAAGCTGTTTGCACATTTGCTAATATTAGAACATGGCACAGTTTGCTTCTAATGAAGTGTTCGACCTGGCTTTGTGATAGACAACAAAATCCTGGTGTGGTGTCCTGTGCAGCTTCCTGCCCACACCATCCTTCCTGCTCCTGCTAATGGCTCCCAGCTGGCAACTGCCCAAGCCAGTAGCTAAATCTAGAACAGCCCTGATCCTAGTTTAAGCTTACTTTAAAGGTGATAATTTTCAAGCTGGAGTAGAGCTAAATGCACAGTTAAAACAATCTGACTCTCTCCCGTAAGCACTGGCACCAGCAAGAGCTGCTGCCACTGGGCACAGAGTCTGGCGTGGAGAAGGAGCAGTTTCCATCATAGAATCATAGAATCATAGAATGGCCTGTGTTGAAAAAGACCACAACGCTCATCCAGTTCTAACACCCTGCTGTGTGCAGGGTCACCCACCAGCAGCCCAGGCTGCCCAGAGCCACATCCAGCCTGGCCTTGAATGCTTCCAGCGATGAGGCATCCACAGCCTCCTGGGCAACCTGTTCCAGTGCCTGACCACCCTCACACATCACAGCTGGCAATGCTCAGAGGCAAGGAAGCTCTAGACTTCAAGACTGCATGCTCAAAATCCCTTTTTGGGGGGGATGTTTTGGGCGTTCAGAAGTGCTGCTCCACTTCCTGACACAAAACATCTACTGCCCCAAAGATCCATGGTCACTCTGACAGCTTCAGAGCCCAATCTGAGGGCTGATGCTGATGTACTTATACAAAAGTCGCACCTCCTGCCGCTCCCTACAGCACCAGTCCTTGATTTTGCCTCAGTTCCTTTCTCTCTAGGGAAAAGCCGCATGCCAAAGGCAGCTCCACTCTTCTGCAGCCCTCACACTTTCAGAGCCATCCCATCAGGGACTCCAGACTCTCCTCAGGTTAGCTGCTACATTGACTGGAGAGTTATCAGGAACTCAGGTGCATTAAATACTTCTTTGCAGGTTTGCCTCTTCCCTTTGACAGGAGGAGCCTTCTTCACTCCTCTAAGTGCTGGATCAAAGCCTGCTGTCCCCAGGCAGACAGGCCAGGAGACCAGCCTGAGACCAGGCTTAAACAGCAGTATCCCCTTGACTTTCTCAGCACAAAACATTTCCTTTCCAAGCAGCACCAATACTCCTTGGGATGGGAACCTCTGTTTTCACCACAACCCAATGCCAATAGGCACCAGCTTGTCCACAAGCCAACCCAACGCAGCTCGTTCCATTCTCTGCACAGAGCTGTCCCTAGTCAGGTCCAATGGGACCTCCTTCCAGCAATGCCCACATGCCAACACTACCTCAGCACTACTACTGGAGACAAGCCACACACAGCACAGGCACACAGTCCATTCAGGAAGAGCAGCTGGAAAGACAAAGCTCAGAGAGACCTTATTGCCTCTATAAGTCTCAGAAAGGAGGTTGTGGCAAGGTGGAGGATATCCTCTACTCCAGGGTAACAGCAATAAGATGAGAGGGAATGGTTTTAAATTGTTCCAGAGGATGTTTAGGTTGGATATTAAGAAAAATTTCCACTCCAAAAGAATGCTCAAGCATTGGCACAAGCTGCCCAGGGAGGCAATGCAGTCATCCTCCCCAGAGGTGTTCAAGAACCGTGTGGATGTGGTACTCACGGATGTGGTTTAGTGGGCAGTATTGGTGGTATGTGGATGGTTGGATGAGATGATCTTAAAGGTCTTTTCCAATCTGAATGATTTGATGATTCTACAGTCCAGCTGTGCTCTTTTAGACAGTCATCAGCAGAATGATGGAAAAACTAAAATAAGATTCATTAATTACTGCCACACAATGGTAGAACAGAGCTTTTACAGATGTCTTCTGAAATAAAATATCCTGTACTGAAAAATATCAAGTGACCTTGATGAAAGCTATTTTCTATAACCCCCTTTGATTGGCACTGTCCCATGCCTGAGTGCTTGATTAAAAGGCCAGAACAATACAAAATCAGAATAATGCACAAGACATGGGTTAAAACCCCATTAAAATGACTGTGCCACAGATCATCACTAGAAAGGGAGAATCAGTGAGAATGAGTGAATACTGCTTGTGACGGAGACCCTTCTTCGCCCCGCTCACTTGGCAGGCTGGAAAGAAGCAGGTATTTGGCATTCAGTCCAGACATACACCGCCTCTTTATGCTAGCAAAAACAGAGAAGCCTCATTTGCAGGTTGGAATCTCAGATCTAGCTGGAAAACAGAAGTTGCACGTGTTCTGACTTAGAATGGGTGCATTTCTTCTCTCTGGCAAGGTGACAGTCATTATAATTGGCAGCAAATCCTCCACCCTGCCCGTGGAAGTGCTCAAGTTCACGTCCAAAGCTTTCTCAGAGGAAAGCTCAATCAGCCTCAGTGATGGTCCTTGTAGGAGTTCATGCCACTGTAGGCTTGCAGGGGAGCAGGATCTGCTGTCAGACCACCAGGCTCTCTGGAGCATGCTTAGGTCTAGAAATAACATCTGGTGGGCAGATAACCTGAACAGAAAGGCACCGAGTGGCTCTGTGGCCCTTTTCATGCATTTGTATGCATGTTTACATTCCCTCCCTGTTTTCTTCACTTATGGCCTGACTCCCTATGCAGGATTTGACCCCAAAACCTCCCAAAATGTGGGCTGACCACACTGATAACCTGAGCAGTATTGCCCACACCACTGCAAAGTACAGAACCTGATGATTTACTTAAAATAAAGGAGAAACTGCTGTCGCATCTGCCTTACACTTCCCAACACCCTGTGACTGCAGCTGCCAAAAGTACTCCTTGCTCTCCTGGGGATGTCCAGCAAAGAGGGAGTCCCAGTCCCAACACGCAGTGGGGAAGATGGCAAATCTGTGACAAAGGAACAGCTGGACCAGCAACAGGAACACAGGGAGGAGAGAGCAGACTGGAGAGATCCATCAAGATGCTGAGTGATTTTACAGCTCAGGTGCCAAGGAGTGCCTCCTGCACCAGCTCCAACATTTTGGAGTCCATGTCTCCTTTTGGAGCACAAATCATTTTTGCTCCCGGGGCCATTTGCCAGACAACAAAACAATTTTCATCAGCTGCCTAACTGAGGTCTCGCTCGTGTCCATTTATATCTACCTAATCACTCAACAAATAAATGCATCAGATTGTCTCTTTGCCCATTCAAGCTTTCAGTCTCCCTGTGTCTCCCTGTGTTACCAAGCTTTCAGTGTCCCATTCAGTCTCCCTGTGTAACCTTTCATCTGCCTGTAAACCACTCAGGCTTCTAGCCAGACAAGTGGGCAAATGTATTTGCCTTCCCTGCTGCCACTGCCCCTATCCCAGCTCTCATAATCAGCAGCCCAGCAATGAGACAAACGTCATTCCATTCCTCAGGCAGTGAATTGGCACACATGAATATCTTCCAGGTGAATTACAGACTCTGCTGATAAGAAGCTTAGAGGTAAAACATTCATTTGCCTGAGATGACAGCTCAGTTTGAATGGCAGTGGAATTGGGCTCTAATTAGACTGTAAGTGATGAGAAGCAGGGAGACATTGTACTCTGAGCTGTTCACAGCAGTCAGGACAAACAATTCCAATTTCTTGAGAGATTTCCAGCAAAAAGAACTGCCTCCCCCTCGGATACACTGCATGTGTTCTCCTGCACACCTCAGTGCTCCCAGCATGATGCATGTGTGCAATAAACCATTGAGAGGACAACCAAGGAACAGGTCTGTGTGCACAGAGAAGTGCAGCACATCTGTGCAGCACATGCTTAGCCATGACAGTCTGTGAGGAATGGCTGCTCTATGCAGCAAGAGTTGTATCGACACCATGGAAGTTCTTGCTGAGACACAATTTCTCCCCAGATCTTACCCAAGCTGGACACAGCAAGGTTTCAGCTGGGCACCCCATCTCTCTCTCGGTGGTGTGATGGTGTCCTTCTAGCCTGGTGTCAGCCTGCAGCAGGGATCTGCTGGTACCACCCTGTGAGCACACAACAAAGAAAATGTTGCACAGGCAAAGCTTTGCTCTTGCTTTTCTGATGGAGAAAGGCATCAGCATAGCAGATTGGAGGTAGCACAGCAAACTGAGTTCTCACTGTGCAGCCAAGGCCAACCAGAAAGCTTCCTCTTGCTGTCCAAATCTGAGGGGGAACTGGACGACGTCTCCAGGGCATGACAGCCCACCATATTTTGGACCAGCATATCTGGGGGGAGCTGCAGAAGAGAGCAGCAATCAGCAATCTGGGTATCAATTGGAAGATCAATAAATGAGGTGTGTTCAGCAATGAGGTGCGTTCAGTGAGTCTCTGCACAAAAAGTGCAGGGTACCTGGCTTTGAAGCACTCCCATTCCCTGTGGCCTCCCTGCAGGCTAAGGCTGCCAGGGAGGAGTATTTGCAAGTGGCTCCTCATGGAGCAGTGCACTGCTGCCCTTTTTCAGGACCCAGAGGTCTGCCCAAGCTTTCAAGGACTCAGCATCATATCCATACCGAGCCTTGGCCACAACACTCAGCTTCTGCCTGATAGCGTGAGGGCAGCAGCAGCACCAACCAGCAATCCTTTCTAAGCATTTAATAGCAAAAAAATCTCACAGCTCTGAGGTCTGAGCCTCCCTGCTCCACGTAGGCAGCAATAAACTTCATAGTGATTCAGTTTCTCTCTTAAAATAGCTTCAATAATAGTACCCAATAATAGGGGACTTATAGGGGGACGTATGCCCCATCCTGGGAACAGCAGGCAGGCTGCCAAAACAAGGGACACCAGAAGCAATAGTTCTGCTGGAGCAAATACCTCACAAGCTGGGCACAAGCTCTGTCCGAGCGAGTTGTGTTCAGAGGTGGGAGGCTCTCTGCAGCCCAGCAGCAACCTCCAGCAAACCTCCTCCCTCCTTCCACACAGCATCAGGGAGATGGACCAGACAGGCATGAAACACCGCTTGACTGTGACTTCACGGAGTACAAACCTGTCAAATCAACTTGCCTGCTGTCATTTCAGATAACACGAGCACAGTCAAGCCTGAAGTATGAGTGAGCAAAATCCCTGTCCTGGCCCCTAGGGATCAGGGCTCGTCTCAAGGAGGCACAGACGACAGGTGACAGAACAGCACAGCAGGCAGAGCCCTTGGGTGCCTTTTCGCTTTGGCATTGGACCAGCGCACGCTGCTGTGAAGCATCATCCTGTGCGTATTTCTGCAACACTGTGAGCAGAACTGTCCTGACCCTAAGCTCAGCTTCTGAACTAAAAGCCATCCTGTGACCCCACAGTGCCCTCCTGACAACAGATGTGCCATCTACCTCCAACAGGCTGGGCCACACAACCAAAGAATGAAGCCAAAACCACTCTCAACGCCATTAATTAAGGTGATGACAGTTACTACCACCTTGTAAACTGGAATCAAAACTTTGTCTATGCTCACATTATCCCAGGACAGCTCATCTTGGCTTAAATTCACATCTTTGCCTCACGCAACAAGTCCTACCCTTGCCCAAACCAAGATGGCTCATTCCAGCAAACTACTTCTGCTATGTGATTTTTTTTCTTTTTTGGGTTGGTTTTTTTTTTTGGTGTGAGAATGGAAAGTGCCTCTCAGCATGAAGATTTTCCTGTCTGCAAGCAACATTCCCTCAGGACAGCTGTGCTTCTCAGAAATATGCTCCAGGTTCTCATAAGGAATAGATTGTTACTGCCTCAATGAAGTCCAGCACCGTGATCTGAATTGCCAAATTAGTTTGGCACCTGTTAATAACAACATGGAGCGGCAGAAAAGGCCAAAACCATTTTCAGGGAGAGGGAAAATAAATTACTGCCTTTCCTGAGGGTGCTGCTCTCTGACCCTACAGAAGAATGGACAGAAGAATCCCCAGCCAGCTGGGGCTGTGCCTGCAACCTGCCCCTGGGCCCGGACAGATGCATTATGCTACCAGTAATTCAAACTCATACTAGAAAACCCAAATGGCACCCCAACGCAGGAGGAAGTCTGTGCAGCACAGTCTGTGCAGGCAAACACAGAGCTCTCCACCCACCTCACCATGGACCCAGACTCCTTTATTTCCTCTTACAGTGATGTTAGTTGCAATCCAGTCCCATGTCACTGGGCACTCCATCTCAGTCCCTGATGCTCTGGGCTACATTGGTGGAACTTGGCTTCAGCTGCTCATGCTATAGACACAAGCTGCTAAAAGCAGGCACTACCTTGCTGGCTGGGTTTGGCCTTTTCCCACCTTGCCCTGCTCAGGGATTGCTCTACCCAAACCATGGGACATAAGCCCAGGGTATTGCGCCTGTTGAATTCCACTTACCTTGCTCCTATCTTGCTCTTCTGGATCATTAAACAAGGCAGTGTCCTCTGTGTAGGAGCCACCCTGCTGCCTAGCAGCTCTCACAGCACAGTCACTGCATCAGAGCTGGAAGGAGGACAGCTATTCACTCTGCACACTCCTGCCCTTCAGAACAGGAGACTGTTTTCACCGGCAGGAAACAAACACAGATTGAGTGTTGTATCCCTGACAGCAGGAAGCACCGTTGGAGAGGATGTAGCAACACAGACAGCACTGCACAGAGTGAAATAAAAGAGAATCCTCCATCCACACACACAGAGGTTTAAAGAGAAGTTCAGACAGCTCCAGAGAGATTAACTATAGAAATACTCTAATTTGAGAAGCTGTTAGTGGTGAGCACACACGTATAGCCACTCTCTAAGCAGAAAATAGTCCAGAACAAAGCCAAGGACTGGTAAATGCATACCCAGGGTCATGACCACAACTAGTTACATTACTAGCTCCAGTCAATTACCCTTGTATTTGCGATTGAATTAGCTCACCCTGGCCTCTCTACTTGCCACCTTTCACTACTGACACATACATTAATCAGTCACAGCCTGATATTCATGTATAGGAAGTGCTAATGCCTGCAACCTGCAATATTAACATGTTAGGCAAAGCACAGCCCTGGTGCCAAGTCCTCAGACAAGGGGCACAAACTCACTCCAGGATCCCAAGGGTCTCATTATGGAACAGAAAGGGAGCTTACAGACAAAAGGAAGAGAACACATACGCCCAGAGCAGAGATCCAAAGAGAAGAAAAGAAGATCAAAGTGACTTATCTCTAGTCTCCATTGTCGGAGTTGCTCATAAACCATCTGAGCAACTGACTCTAAGTGGCTTTGCTTGAGCAGGAGAGTTGGACCAGATCGCCTACATTCCCTTTCAACCTTAGCCATTCTGTGATCTCTCCTTTTAGAGCAGAGAGCTCGATACCACTTGGAAAGGAACAAAATCCTGCATCCTGTCAAGACAGCCTTCAATGGCCCTGATGTACCGTAGCCTGCTCTGCTTACCTCAGCACACATCTAGGCTCCTGGGTAAGGTCCTCCAGTGATGAAACCCATCAGAAACACAGGCTGGACAGGGTGAGTAGCTGCCAAGCAGGAGATAGGCAATGCTTCTCCAACATAGCCAGTCAGCTCCAAGAGCCAACTCAATCCAGTCACTGTACATACAGCCACTTCAAAACATGACTGTCAAGGGAAGTTTGGAGAAGGGCTTTAAATAACACTCAGGTCAGAAGGCACTGGCTAAGAACTATAGGCTCGTAGGCTCCGTTCTCCAGGCAGTAATACAGCATGCACAACTAAAGCACTCACTTGAAAAAGAGCACAGAACCTTTGGCAATCGTTATTCGCAGCAAAGACAACCCACAGGAGCATGGTATGTCTGAGGATCTTTATTTCACAGTTACCAATGGTTAGAAGGCTGAGTTACATAATGTAGCAATCATAAATAGGCAGCAAATCATAGTAACAACGTGGTACTCACTTTGAGTTTAATGACAGGATGTGAGACAGCACAGCTGTGTTCAAGGTACCAAGGCAGCTCCAAAAGCTGGCAATGAAAATGAGATACCACACCTGGAAAAAAACCAAGTGGCTGGACTGGGGTTTAGGAAAAATAAATAATACAGATGATCACATTGATGCCGAGGAAAAAAAGCTCAAACAGTAGCAAGTAAGAATATCTTCAAAGGGGAATCGGTAACACGGGTATGGCCAGAACAGATTGGAGAGAAAAGCTGAACTAGTCATAACTGCAGCTGGACCAACATGCCATGCACTTTTTGTGGTGTGTTAGATGAGTCTAATTTCACCCCTTCCTAACCAGCTCACAGTCCAGCAGTTAGTGATAGCACTGTGTGCAAATACTGTTACTGAACGTGGTTGATCCACAGCTCCCCATCCCTTGTAAGGGACTGATGTTTATCAGAGGTTGGCAAAGCATAAACCACACAATGAAGACAGGTGGAAGCTCCCACCAACCACACAGTATTGCTTGGTGCCCTGCTCATGCATTATTCCCAGACAAGGCTACCAGATGTGTCTCCAGGTCCATTGACCCTACCATGAAGAGGACCATGAGGTAAGTGAATCACAGCACTCCTCACAGGCTGACCTGGACTCAACTGGCACACAGAAAACAAACAGGGAGACACTGGAAGTGTTTTAAGGGTTCGGAAGGTCCACAGGGAATTAATATGGCTTGTAGTTCCAGTAACTGGAGAAAACTGAAATCTGGAAAGCAAGAGAGAAAGCAGTTAAGCTCCTGGAATCTCTCGACCTTAGAAGAATGAGCTTACGATAAGTGTGAAAAGATTGAGTTTTACAGTATTATCTAGCACTGTGCTGCAGAAAGACAGATTTGCTGCTGTTGTCACTGAAGAGGCTTAGAGCACACTGTTATTTGCCAAGGTAGCAGCCAGGTCAGCTGCAGAGCTGAAAGTGAACTTTGTTTTACTGGAAACCAGCTTGCTGGATAGGTCTCCACATCTCCTCCCCAGGACACTGGCATTTCTTAACATCCACCTCACGACTAGCACAAAAACTTTGACCTGTTCCTTTCCATCTAGCTCAGCAAACATCTGCCACGCTACATTCACCCCAGATGGCTGTCTGCTCGCCAGCGACAGCCAGCTCCTAGGCTCCAGAGCGCTGACTCACTGCTTGTTTTCAGTCTGTGTACCAGCTGTACAAAATATCTCGTCAGATTTTTAGGACGTCTGAGGTTCCCTCGAAATTCAGAGTGATAAAACAAAGCTCCTTCTCTAAGGCCATTACCTTGTCCTTCAGTTGCTGGCAAAGCTGCAGTGAAACTGTGAAGAAGACAAGGGCATCATTTAACCATGGGACAACAGACTCCATTTTATGGACATGGCTGACTTCATACCGCTGGTTGCCGAACTCACTGGATAGGGTAAAAGAAGAGCACAGCTTCACACACAGCAGCACAGAACACAAAACTGTCCTCCATTCTCACAGAAGGAGTCAGAATGACCTCTTCATTTAAAACAGCACCTGGCAAAGTTACAGAACACAAACTCTCAGTCTACCTCCAGCAGGACTCAGAATTTAGCACAATTCAATAGGGATCAGGTAGAAACATTATCACTTTCCAGAGAGGTGCACTGCAGGAAATGCAGGAAGCCATACCAACAGTCTGATGTTCTGGTGGCTAATGACTCCAATCTCTTGCCAAACTCGTGACATTCTGTGGGTGAGCTGAATCCCAAAAAGCCTTTCTCACAGTCATAAAGAAACACTATCGCAGGTAGCTGTGCAATTACAGGTACAGCCACAGCAAATTGCTCAGTTTAGTTTTTCCATTTAAACAATCTGATGAGAGCATCTGATCCATTTGGACCTTACCCTCTGCATCCTCCTATCACTGTTACACAGCCTTGTAGCAACTGTACTTACAACATGGCTCCAGGGTTGTGCAGGATGGATCCTCCAGCAGGCTTGAAGTTCTAAGAGAAGGCAAAGGCAATTAGGATTTTGAGGCAGTAAAATACTTTGAAGACCTATAAGATGTGCAAATTAGTAGCTTGACAAAAAAAGAACACCTGCTGTATACATCTGAATACTTTGTTCATATTGAATCCATGCCATTTGATCCCATTTTGCTCCTTCAGAAAAACATTCTACACAGTGGCTGAGTCCAATTTAGCTCCAGATTATACAATCATAGAATAAGTTCCCACTGAACAGAATATCTAGTAGAAGAACAGAAAACTGATTTTAGGAAAAATATCCTTACAGAGGGACTATATTTCATTAACTGTAAGAGTTTGATTCTGCTTTTATGGGACATCAAGCTGACCCAAGTGTACTATGTAAAGCAGAAAAGTAACCACCAAAACCCAATTCAGAAAACCTAAGATGTGACTTCAGTATAAAATGTAATACAAAGCTATGCCCTTGTAGAACTATGTAAAAATTATCCAACTATATTGCAAGATAAAACACTGGCAAAAATAATTATTACTTTCTCCAGAGCACTGTTATTTTCCTCTTGGCTAAAGAGCCATGCCATGAGCTAGGTTTAGAGCCAGTGTTTTGGCTGTAGTAGACCTACATACAGACACAATACCAGTCACCACGATTTATACATTATCTTATGCTTGTAACAGTGCACTCTGTAACAGTGTGATCTCCTCGCAGTAGGAGGGAAGGAGAGGTAAATAAACAAGGCTCAAGAAATGGCAGACATCACCTTGGTCGTGCTGGGCTGTAGCACGTGGAGTTGGTAGACAGTCAGGCACAGCTTATTCAGGTTTATATAGAAATTCACAAGGATGTCTGGAGGAAGAGCAGGGCTGAACATTTTCTAGTGAGAAAATAAGTTGTTTTTTTTAATCAGTGAACAGTCCATTATTTCTAATGCTACAAAATCACTACCTTTTCTAAGCTGTACAGCAAGCAGCCCATAGTGTGGGATGTGACAAAAGAAACAGACTGAGCAGCATGCATGTAATGGCTGCTCCTCCTGCTGCAGTTGATCAGATGGTGTGGGCATGAGTGCTGATGCCAAAAGCGGATGGAATAGTATTCATAAGAAGAAATCATCCCTGGACAACCTTCCTGGACAGGGAACACAACTTCTCCCTGACAACCAGAGTCCTCACACCCCAAGGGACACAGAACAGACAAGAATTAAGAGCTCAGGGTTTGCACTTACTTTCTCTCTCCCCCTTTCTCTCCCTTCCCAGGAGAGGCTTCAGAAATCCATTCCCACCAAAATGCAGAACAATATCCTGACCAATGCACACTACCAAAGTATTTAGACTATCGAAGATTTAGACTACCAATACTTACAGTCAGACCACTGGAGGCAATTTCTGGTAGAGTCAGAGTGGCTGGAGTGGTGAGTCGATTCCGTGCTCTTGAGAGCTGTAACATCACAGCATCCATAAGCTGGAAAATGACAGTACAGTGCTGAGTGGAAAGCCAGGAACAGCTCTTGAGAACGTGCTGCAAAAGGCTGTAGGATTCTGCCAGTGTTACAACCACCCTCTTCCACTCAGAATTCAGGGACTTGGGAAGATGTGGCTCCCACAAGGACTAGCAGACAAAAGAACATGACTGGATACAGGCTGCTGGAAAAGGAGATGTTGTGGTCTCTTATAAACTCATGGCAACAGGATGACAATTCCCATTTCCTCACAGATACCAATCAATCAGCAACAAATACGAGGTTTTGGCAATGGTTGAAATCGTAAAGCAAGACTCATACAGTGATACAGCACCATGCTTAAAGATGCATAAGTGCTGGGAGGAGATCAGGAAAGGCAAAGCACAGCTGGAGGAGAATTTGGCTAGAGTTGTGAAAACTAACAAGTATACAAGAACAACAAAGAAAGAAAACTTGTTCTACCCCTCCTTGTCTTGACTGAGGTGACACAAGACAAAGTGCAAAGTCCTGAACCCAGGTCAGAGCAATCCCAAACAGGAATGCAGACTAGGCAAGGAGTGCATTGAGAGCAATCCTGTGGAGAAGGGCCTGGCGTTATTGGTAGACAAAAAAATGGAACTTGAGCTGGTGCTCTGGGGCACCCAAAGAAGAATATGGATCTGGTCCATAGGAGGAAGCTCAGAGGGCTGGAGCAACCTCTCCAATGAAGGCAGGCTGAGAGAGTTGAGGCTGTTCAGCCTAGAGAACGCTCCAGGGAGCCCATATAGCAGCTTTCCTGTGCCTAAAGGAGGCCTAGAAGAAAGCTGGAGAGGAACTCTTTATCAAGGAGTGCAGCAATAGCACAAAGGGTAAAGGCTTTAAACTAAAGGCGGGTAGATCTAGGTTAGACATCCAGGATAAATTCAATGCTATGAAAGTGGCAAGGCACTAGAAGAGGCTGACAGAGAAGCTGTGCGTGCCCCATCCTTGGAAGTGCTATGAGAAATAAGTGTTTAATGACAAAGACTGAAGAGATAACTATTCATTACAAGAACAAGTAGGGAAGATGAGATCAATTACTGATGTCACAGAAGCATCCACAGTTCA